AGCCTTCGGCCCACAGGAAAGTACGCGGACTCATACACGGCGCCAGAGTGGCGACAACCGCAGTGAAGAGGGCAATACAACGGACGAAGTGGTGGCTGCGGTTAGACGCAACCTATCCATCAATAGGATTGCTCATCAGGAACTGCGTGCGGCGTTTCGGCGCCATCGCGTAGGACGGATCTCCTGCAGACCTCTGCCGCCGGCGACTAGACTTCGACAACAGTCGGCTCGACCACCGCTACAGCGTGTACAGCAGACTKAGGTGCAGCGAGAAGGACAGCAGGCCATATCGCAGCTGGAAGACGAGACTCGAGGTGGGGGGCAGGTGGGACGACCGGAGCAAGAACAGCCGGACCAATCCGTAGAACCTCGCAACCCACGAGGACAACGGTGAGGCCTGAACTCGAGTGAGAGTGACACGAAAGACGGGGAGGACGTTAGATCTGGGCAAACGGGACAAGCCGGAGCATGATGGCGGCACCAGTGCAGGACGGAGAGGGAGTGCAGGCAAACCACCTCCAAGCTGGCCCGTCACAAGGGCCGCGAACGGACTGGCAAATTATGAAAGCGGTGAGGAAAGCGGCCCTAACACGCTCCTTCGTCACGGACCCTGCGGCGGATGTCAAGACGGTGGATGGTGAGCTCATTCTCCAGGTGGAGAAGAAAATGGCGATTGCACAAGTCACCTACATGCGCGCTCACATCATTGTCATGCGCTTTGAGGGACCCCTGAAGGATCTAGCACCGCAGGCCAAGTTAGACTGGATACGCTGTTGGGAGCTGGAGAACTGGCCCGAGAGAGGTCAAGCCTCGTATAAAGGCTGGGCAACGGTGGAGGGCGGGGCATTGGTCTTTTACTCGGCCCCCACGGCTGTGCTACGAAACTGGCTACTCCGTGAGCAGGGGAGTGAGGGTATTAGACTGGGTGATCGCACCTACCGCGTCAGATTCACAGCGTGGAGGTTGCCAGTGGAAGTGGAATGGGAGAGGCTGCAAGAACGGAAGGCAAGGCCATGGGTGCGATTTGTGCAACCCCCCCCCATGGCGGTGCTAATGCTCCGGCAATTAGCGGAATCGTTTTTTGGGGCGGTCAGAAATCCAGAGGGTACATGGGCGGCTGACGGTGATGGTAGAGAGACAAATTAGACAATTAGATTTGACCTCTACCCCCCCCTCCGCTCGCAGGGACTTGAGCGATTGGCAGTGGCACAAGCATATTACGGTCGGCCAGAGGTGAGAGGGATCACCAGTGAGACCCCATGGTGCGATAGCTGCCGGAGGCATGGCCACCTGGCGCGCAGGGGGCGATGCCTGACGATGGTGGAAACTAAGGAGGAGCTAAGC